CTGATAGATCGTGCTCGATCACTATTAATAAAAGAATGTCTAACTAGAGAAATGCCTGAAGAAAGAACAGCAACTTTTGACAAGCTTTAGTTCACCTTGTTGTTTCGCTTGAGGCGATATTGAAAAAAGCTCATCAGCTTTGAAAATCTGTTAAAATTCGGTAAACAGCTACTTCAATGAAAACAATTTATGAAGTTAGCATACAAAGTGAAAATATAAAATCAACTCATAAAATAAAATAAAGGAATTTTAATTAAGGGCAATTCCACTGCATATTTTGTATACAATCTTTACAAAAGTACTACCCACATTAAAGTACTTTTGGTTGCTGTGTCCATGGTCATTAATATAGTAGTTTTCCAATGTACTTTTCTTTTTAATTTTATTCTAAAAAGGAATAAACCCCAATTAATCTATGACATACTTATTAGGACTTCACAAAGAACCATTATTAAAATTTATTCCTTATAGTTTAACATTCATTATAAAGCAGCTCTTTTATATGATTCATATTCTTTTAAGATTATATTTCAATCTCTAGTAGTCCTTCCATTTTCTCTCATCTATCTATAATTAAATGGTTACCAAACCAGTACAGGAAAAACTGATTTTAATTTATCAATTAAACCCATCTTATGGCAACAAAATCACAGACAAAAGCTTGCCTCTTCCCTCGACCTTTTTCCCTACAATGATCTTTGCTACATTTCTGTCCTATTAGAGTTACCAGTTTATTCTAAGGACAATCTAAATTACATCTAATCTCACAAACTTTCTCTATATCCGAAATGACAACTGGCAAACGGATCCCGCCTGCTTGCTATGGGTCCCATCTCTCTAATTGTGAGTTATCATTGAACGAAATAGAAACACAAACAGGAACAAATATATATAGTAAACAAACAAACAGTAACAAAAAAAATAAACTGCGATTTTACCCTAATTCACCCAATGTGGGCTACGTTCAGCTGAGTCAATATTATTGCAATATGTCTCACCTCTCTCGTTTATAATGAATGAATTTGCTCTCATTTCTATAACAAGAAAAATATGTTTATATACTAGGTTTAAGGATTAAACCTAGTTTTACAAGGATCTTATTCTTAAGCCCAACCCATTAATGCTGAAGTAGTCGACAACTCAACAATCATGTCAAGATTGTGAGAGAAATTTGTAAGATTGGAATGAGTCAATCTTTATTGATTTTATATCCAAATGTTGTAACTGACTTTTTCACTTGTTAGTGGACAAAAAAAAAAAAAAAAAAAAAAAAAAAAAAAAGACCCTCTCCATAACAGCATTAACATAGTTAATGATTCAAATAAGACTCCCAACCATCTTGCTCTAGCTTCTCAGTTTTTGTCAAGACATCGTTCTTCATGTCTTTCAAGTATTGGCTCATTCGCTTAAAACATCAATGAGCAGGAGCAAAGGAAAATCATTTAAATTACTATTTTCATGAATCACGATTTAATACAAAAAGAGTGAGTATATTATTATATCTGTTTGGCCTTTGAATCAAACTATGAATTATCTATATAACCCACCTTCCCAGTATATCAGCATTGCCAACCCCCAACGTCCTTCTGCTAACAAACTCGCATTCGTTGCATCACTTTTGCCACTGTTGCAACTGACATCCCCACGCATCTGAATAATCAAATTAGAATTATCAGTATGTGGAAAAAAAAAAAAAAAAAAAAAAAAAAATTCTGAAAGCACTAATATAACATAAAATTGATATCTTGAAGAATTGATACAAGCAATAATTGGTATGTCAGGCTATACAATTGGACATTACTTTTGTGCAAGGGAAGTCATCATGGATACGCCAACAGGTTTAGTAGTTTTTATGTCATTCTGTCATTTAAATATCTCTAGTGCCGTGAAAGTTACAGATCCAATAAATGAGGCCTAACTAATAGCTTCATGATGTTTCTAGAGCTTACATGAGTCAGAAAATAAACTTACTGAATAGTAATTTCACTAAACATATCCCAAAGACTACAATGTAATTAGCCCTGGCTATTACAAAAATTCTTATAACCGACAAACCAAAAGGGTACCTCTTGATATATCATACATGAATTTTGGGTGCCAATAGATTAATTTCATAAACATTTAAGACCATAGGAGAATGAATATTCTGAGCATTACGTCTCCTATAAATAATAGTAAGAGTTAAATAAACAGACTACCTGCACAATTGATAAGAGTGAATCAATTCCATTCAATGCAGAAGACCGCACAGGAACCCCCATAACAGGCAAGGGAGTAAGGGCAGCAACCATACCTAGAGTTCATCCGAGCTGATGTAATTCCACACAAAAATGTGGGATTAGATACTCTATATGGAGAATGTTATTAAAGTGGGCTGCACCACCACACCAATGGTAATGGAGGTGCCTTGATCCTGAGCGAAAAGGCATAAGAAAACATCTTTCAGGAGTCCGATGCACTGAACATTTTAACTGAGAATTATAATTACAAAAGGTCAGGTTGAAATAGATTATCACACAGATGAATATCACACATCAAATGGCTGAAAATATGATACATGCATAAAACAATAAGGTTAACCTTATGAGGTACATCAAATACTAAGATCTTACCAGCATCCTTCATAACAGGAAGATCTGAATCAGAGCCATAATTATCTCAACATTGGGGTAAACTGTAGAGCAAATAACAGAATTTCAGTGTCATACTTTCTCATTCAATGGTGAAGGCATTAGCAAAGTGCAATCCAGCTACAAATCATAACCAATGTAAACAACGTTGTTACAACTGTTGTGTACAGTATAATCCACATAAAATGCCATATGAATCAAACATCGCAACCCTCAAATTGGTGAAAGGGGGTAAATAGTATCATTATTATGCAAACCCAGATCAAAGGACAATTTTTCAGCAAGAGATGGAGCTGACTGAAGGAAAGAATACTATAAAGTTTTTCAATCTGGCTTGATAAAATCTTAATACTAATTTTTCTGATTCAAGTATACTATTCAACAAACTTAAACTATATAGTCTGATGAAATCCCATATTTAAATATAAATCACCAAAAAAAGCATGAGTTACCCAAGGACTCAATAAAATGACCAACCATCTTCCTGTAACTTCTCTGCTTTTTCAAGACATCATCCCCTGCATCTTCCTGATATTGGCTCACTCTGCAAATAACATGTCCAATATCATAAATTGGAACCATGAAAGTTATATAGTTTATATGCGCGTATTTCAACAAGAGAGAGCAATATATAATTTTATTAGTTTGGAATTAAATACAATTCATCTAATTTTTTATTTATTTATTAAAAAATTAAAGTTTGCATTATTACAACCACAAAGAAGGATCCAACCTTGCAGTAGATCAACATTGCCATTTACTCCCAACATTTTTGCTGCCATAAGCCTGAACTTCTGCATTATCTATTGCGAACTGTTGCAACTGGAACACCTCTAGGCATTTGAATAACAAACAGCAAAGCTTTTACTAAGCACATGTAGATAGACAAATCATGTTAAATAAATAAATCAAATGTCATTTGAAGAAAGCAATAAAGCTTTTCAATAGATAAAAAAAAAATCTCAGAAAGCAAACACAATAGGGCACCTTCAGGTTCCAGTTCTGAATTTTGGAGATGTGCTAAATATCCATTTCATGTATTTAAAGAGGATAAGATAGAAAACAGAAACATTTTGTACTACAGTCTACCTGAACAACTGATAAGAGTGAATCGGTCCATCCATCTGGAAGCACGCAAAGGGACACCAATCACTACCTAAATATTAAGAAAGAGACATAATTCTGTAAGACCGTTTGTGCATTACTTCACTATACATAGAGCAGAATGTATAAACCTGCCTGGCAAGTGGGCTGCACTACTATCACCAGCAATGATGGTCCGAATGCCTCACTCCGGAGCAGATAAGGCATAATCAAGCATCATTCTAGGAGTTCGATTGCGGAAATTGTTCTAATCTGAAAACTCATAGTATATCGATTCCAGAGTTAGCATGGATTATACAAAAAGATACTTATAATAATTCAAAAGTAACTATAAACACGACTATGCAACTTGGTAGGTACACCACACATGCTCCCACAGCTCAATCTTTGCAGCTCATTCATAATACAAGATCTGAATCTGAGTTCATGATAATCCCAACACAAGGTGACTGCAATAAGCAATAGTAGGAAGCAACTTAAATATCATGCTAATTGGAGAGACATTAAGCAAAAATGTAAGCAATTGTCAACTTGGAATTTGATGGAACCACCTGTTCAAGCAACTCAATCCCACACACACACACACAAGTAGCGAATCGAAATAACACTTAATTGGATTAAACTGAAGGTTAATATGAAGCTATGAAATAACAGTAGCAAGAAAAGTGAACCCGGAACAATTCCCAGCAATTCGAGGAGCTGGAGACCTCAGCCACAACACTATCTGAATCAACTTGATACCTCCTTTACCACCACCCTAGCATTTATACCCAATTACTTCCTCTACTACCCTTACTCTAATAACTTTTATTCATTCAGCCACATGCATGCAGAATCCCGTAACAACTGTAACAACCCTCATAACCTCATTTCCCCTTAGTGTAACAACCCTCACTCACACTCATTTCCCCTTAGTGCTCCCTTTTTATGCCCCTTGACTTATAGACTATATTGACAGAAGGTATATCAGAATCATAAGAAGCTAAGATGGAATGGTGAAACAATAAAACCCCAGCACACATACTATCTAGTGTAAGCGAGAAAAATATAATTTGAAAGCAAAAAAATTCCGACTTTCAGCAAAACATATGTTAGTAAGGAAGGAAGGATACTCCAAATAGAAAACATGCAGCCTATTTCACTTCGATAATTTTTCCAAAAAATGAAAATTGCATAGCATTACAGTTGTCTGGGCAATACTTCAATCTGTTTGAAGCTATCAACCAATGATATTTCAGCCAGTACCATTTGATATCTGAAACTTACCTGAAGACTCACCACTCGAGCTTTCTTCGAGTTTCTGGACAATTGAATCATCCTTCCTAGACAGTTGATTCCTATATTAATAATAGACCATCAAATATTTAACCATAAAATACGATTCCTACCATGAAAGGGTCCAGAAAGTGTCTTCGAATAACTATTGAGCATTTCTTTTTAGCATAAAAGATGGCACCTAAAGACTTGAATCATATGCTACACTACAATGTTGATATAACACTCAATTCTACCTTGACACTGAGAAAATGTAAACTATTAAACCGTTGATTATTTAGATTACCATCATGGAATTTGATAGAACCAAAAGTACTTTCTAATGGTCCCGTTACAATGCAAAACGTACCTTACTAACTTTAAGCTGAATGTCACTAATACACAAGGTACGCTACAAGCAAGGAACTGGAACATAATATAATTTCGTATAAAAGAGCTCAATTTCAATAAATAAATAAGTGAGCAAATTATTGAAAGTAAAGTTTGGACCAGGGAGAAGAAGTCCCGAGCGAGTCACGTGAGGCTTGGCAAGTTAGATTGGAAGTTCATAAACTTGCTAGGTTGATTTTCCATTGAAGTTCGCTTTGTGTGTTTTTCCAAGTGAAATTTATGAAACGGAGACTTGAGGTGATATTGGGAGTAAAAACAGACTCAAAGTTTTTTGGAAGCACTAAGTTTTGAAGCATTTTAAGTTTCACAGATCCTCGCTGCATCAGCACCACGGCGGAAGCGACCGGTGGGACGCCGTACTTTATTCCACGGCAGGCGTAGAGGTGGAAAAGTAACTCACCCCCCCGCTGGCGGGTTTACGCAATTTGGGGGATTGGCAAAGCTCAATCCGGCCCGCCAACCCTAACCCCCAGTTAGGCTCGGTTTTGTTTGTTAGTTTAATGTTTAATTAACTTTTCAAATGAATAATTAACAATTTATGAAATGATAAATATATTGTTTTAGTTAACTTCTTTTCAAATATCATAATTCAATTCAATTAAATTTTTTTTGTAACATTTCAATATTAATTCAATTTTATACAGTTAAAATTGTATATAAGAAAATTAAATTTATTCATTTATCAAAAAATAAAATAAGAAATTACAATAATTATTGCCTCGTTAAAACCTCACACAGAAAAACCCAATGGGACAAAAACTTGGTAAGGAAAAAAGAGTGCAATAATTGACAATTAATTTCAAGTTACAATTACAAAACAACTAATTTGGGGTTGACTAGGACCTCCTCATCCTATCATCTATTACAAAATTGAAATGATTCTATTAACGTATCGTCGAGAACCTCGTATGATCTTGATGACTCGACCATTCCCAATCTCTAAACATGTAGGACTTCAATCATTTTTTGTGAAAGTTTTAGTCCTCATTTCTTAAAATTCTCCACTTGCACTAAATGTTTGTTCGGATGAGACGGTTGAGACTGGAACAGCAAAATATCCAAGGCAAGTCTTGTAATACCGGAAAAATACATTTTCTGGTTTTCCAATATTCCAGACATCAAAGTTGGCTCTTTGTTGTGATTTATTGGTAACATTTCAGGAGTTCCCAAATATTGTTGAAGCTCATTACTCTGATACATGGCAGACAGTATAATTCGTTGTTGTCGTTGGTGCTTCTGAAGAGGAAGCTGCGCCTGTGCTTCGGGTTCGGTTCCTCTTCGCCTATTAATGCACTCCAGTGTAGAAGTTTCATTTGTTTCTTCTGATGAAACTTCCCTTTGTATTCGTGTCTTTATGGGTTCCCAACTGTTTTCATATTGGAAATATACCTCTGCAAGACAATTTTTTACCTCTCCTATTTGTGATTGCAAATTCTAAGTTTTGTAAATTTTGTAGTTAATGTCTTTAAAAACCATTTTCTAAACCTTCTGTTTAATTCTAGGATAAAAAATGGCACCTAAACAATAAAGAAAAGGAATAGTTTAAAATATTAAAAAAAAAAATTCCCATTGCCTTTATTGGTTCTTTTAAAATTTCATTGTTTTTGTTCTTTGTAAATACTCTGAAATTTTTATAATTGTATGTATTACCAATGGACTAGTAGGATAATATACACAAGAAAGTTGTAAAGTGGATTGGTAAAAAATTTTAAGAAAGAATGAATACTTGCTATTTGCCAATCATTTTCTACCAAATAATGAGGACCTCTATTATTTGCAAAAAAATAACTTTAAATTAGCATAGGTAAACATGAATCAAGTATTAAATAAGTACTATTTCATCTAACAGGCAGTCTAATCAAATGTTTTAGGAGACATAGTTGATTTTAAACTAGCATCTTGAAATTCAGCATTTCTTTTTACTACCAGTAATCCAAGCTAACAATCTCTATTCTCAATATTTTCTTAATTGTTTTCATACCATTTTTCACAATTAATTAATAACATGACATAAATCGTTGGTGAAAAAACTTCAAATGTTTATCAGGATAATTACTTTGAAAATAATTTTATAGCCTACTATTAGACTTGCATTATCTAAAGTTAAACTTATCACTCTAGTACAATATCATAATCTTCTAAAACTTCAACAATTATTATAAATTTTTTGACTACTTGATCAACTCCATTAATCTAAATCCTAAATAAGATTTATTTAATTACATTCATTTAAAAATAATAACTAGTCACACAAAATATAATCTTGTTTAGCTCTACTATTCCAAATATCGGCAGTTAGAGCCACACTAACATGACAAGTATGTATAATATTTTTAATTCTAATTTCATTTTCTAAACAATTTATAAATCATTTCAGTTGCAGTTTTAGAATACTTTTAAATCTGGAAAAAATGAATTTTTAATAAATCTTCAAAATATTTATCTTCAGCCATATTAATAGGTTGATCAGTTGCAAGTATATATAAACAATTGTTCCTATGTACAACTAATTATATGCCAAGTAGTACCATATTAGTTATTTGAGTTTGATGGTTTCTCCATTCCATGTTGAGCAATGTTTATTAGCATGCATTTTTAAGTATAGTATATTACTGATCAGCTTTAAACATTTCCCCAAATACTTGCATCTTGCTTTCTTCACTTGAACTCTATTTTCTACCTCCGTAAAACTATCGAAATGCGTCCAACGTCTGATGTGTGTCTGTCGTCGATCGCTTCAAACAATTGAGAACCGCTTCCGCTGAGATGAAGTTGGCCAAGGACGCATTCTAGAACCACCGGGAGTTGGAGTGTAGCAGCATGGGGGGAATCGGTATATTTTGAGGTGTATCGTATTCTGCGACGAGGAAAGCGGGACTATTGAATCTCCTCCTTCATTCTGTTAGTAAATTCAGCGGTACTAGCCTAGGATAGTAGTTTTTCCTTCCCATGAAATTGATAGAAGGAAATATCTATCCATTGTATGTTAAAAAAAAAAATTGATGTAGAAGAATAAAAAATTAAAGAAAGAGAATTGGATATGGAATATGAAATACGGAAATTGGAAATATGAATTGAAAATTGCAAAAACTAATAAAAATAATAACGAGCAATTGATAAATGATAACAACAGAGATTAAGAGAACAATTGAGAATTTCAATAAAAGATAGAGATTAGAGAGAATGAGAGTATTTGAGTTGTGAGAAATATGAGAGTTAGGGCCAATTTAGAGAAAAAAAATGGGGAAATAAAATGACGAAAAAGACCCCTCTAACTACCATAAAACGGTTATATTTCAAAGATAAAGGGGAGTTAAAAAAACAAAAAAAATTATTTTTATTTTTATTTTTTTGCGGGTTCCAACCCACGGGTTGGCTGTTGCACCCGCCGGGTTGGCGGTCCCTTTACTTAAAATGACAAAAGTGCAACCCGGCCCCGTCGAAGCCTACTTGCGGGTAGGTTGAACCCTTTTAATGCGGGACGGGTTAGAGTTGACCTCTCAAGCAACCCATTTTTTTTTCAACCTCTAGGCAGGCGCGCTCTTATGGTTTGTAGAGTTGCTGGCCTTAGCTGTTGATGTTATATAGCAGAGAAATAAGTTGAATAGCACGGGTTAACCAAAAAACACAACAGCACCAGCCAAAAAAAAGGGCACAGCGCAGCAAACATAAGAAGGGTACAGTCCTCAAACCCAATCCGCAAAGGCCTGCCCGCTTATAAAATAGGCCACAGTATAGCCCAATAGTAGTACAAGACACCCCCCATCTACGGAGAAATGGGACAAAAACAGCCCCCGCACCTAACATAGAACCTGCAGACCCCTTCAAAAGGCCCCAACCCACAATACTCATCCTTGTCCAGCCCATAAAACAACAGGCCTCAAAGTACCACCCCAAGTCAGACATGCCAGCCCAATGCTTCCCACATATTTAACCACTCATAATCCCTCTCCAGCCACAAACCTAATCCACAATAGAGCAAGCCTCGTTCACCTTGCTGCAATACTTCAGCTAAAAAACCACACGGCAAAAGACACTTCTCGCAATCAATAAGAACTCCTGAATTAACAGTTTAAAGGCCACGCCCCCACAGACGACCCCCAACCAATTCTCACCATAAATCACAGAACAAAGAAGGATGCAGGGTCTCACAACAAATGGGGAGGTAGCATCACATACCAAATCCCTTGTAGTAGACAAAATGTATCCAACACCATAACAGAGAGTTGACAAAACTAGCCAACACACACCACAACCAAGCAGTAACCCCTTCGACTCCTTAGGAATTTGGACGTATGGTTGTGTGGCAAGATCGAAGGAGGTTTTCCCAAGTCAGGTTACGACAACAACCAAGTTGTAAAGGATTATGATGCATAAGCTTCTCTTAATTTGTCCTTAAGATTAGTTTGTGATTTGGTTATTGTGTCTTATTGGAATTGGTTATTCAGTCTCCGGCAAAGTATTATATGCCAGTAGGTTGTTGGTTTATATTATCTTGGTTAGTATGAGTTTAAGTCATTGGTGGTGTTTGGATTGTTGCCTATATGAAGGATAGACTTTGAATAACAAAACATGATAAATAAATGAATCTTCTCTCTAATATTCTGGAGCTATGTGTTCCCTCACATGAAAGATCTAGTCTCTACAT